TACAAGCCCCCCCCCCCCACCAACCAAAACTTCTGGATCCGCCCCTGGCACCTGAACGGAACTGACAGTCGCGCATATTTGTTGATATGAGTGAAGTTGAGTTGAGTTTAGTTCCTTACAGTTGCCCATGTTCAAGTTTTTGCGGAACTGAAAAAAGCGCGAAAAAATGCCGATTCGGAACTCAAAGGAACTGAAAACGTTGATTCTGATATTAATCGTAATCAAGATGTATTAACTGAAAAAAGATATTATATTACAATGTTTTGTTAATGGCAGATGACTTATCCTTTGTTTTAAAAAAATATAGGCCATAGGCCAGGTTTTTATTCTAATGGAATACGTTCGTATTTATTACTATGGTACTACAATAAAAATATTAAAACAAGACAGAGGGGTATTTTATCTATGGCTAAATATGGCAATCTAGAACAATTACTGTAGTATTGAACATAGTAGTAGTAGCCTAGACCTATTTTTCCGCGCGCGCCTCTAGTCTGGGGACCTATTTTCAAAAGTCTGGTTCGAGAGCCCTAGTATCCGGATCGGGAGCTAACCGTTAGCGCTAACCGTTAGCACTTGCGTGAGAACGCCCGATCGGTTAGCGCTAACCGTTAGCAGTATCCGGATACCGCTAACAGTTAGCAAGTTCAGCACGTTTTTATCATCAACCAATCACACGTACGCGTTTACTATTTTCAGTTTCTTATTCGCCAGTGATTCGATCATCATATTTTTGGTATCCGGATCGGGATTTTCTCGGATAGACGCACGGCAGCTAACGGTTAGCAGGATCCGGATCCTGCTAACCGTTAGCAGCCATGTGAGACGAGCGCTCATGCTAACGAGTTGAGTTGAGTTGAGATGAGTTCCTTTCAGTTCCGTGTTGACCGGAGCCTGCCTTTAGAAAAATCAGTTGTACAACGTATCAATTTGTTCCGCCGGAGCCTCCAATAAAAAAAGAAGAAGATAAGGAGTTCCATTTACCAGGCTAACAGTCTGTAGTCAACATTGCATTAAATTATATGATCCAAAGATATAGAATTTAATTTCTAATTCCACCAAAGTGTAAACACACCAAAGCACTTTAAAACAAAATTTAAATGAATTTTATTGAAAACCCAATGATTAACGTAAACAAAAGTATATGAAAGTTTAATATTTATGATAAAAGTATGATATCAGTATGAATAAAAGTAAATTAAAACAACCATGTGTTGTAATTAAATTGTAAATCTGTAAATAATCATAGAAGAATCATTGTTAATATTAATTAATAATAATACAATAAAATATTCGAATTGTGTATTTGTATATAATCATTAAAGAAAGAATTATGTTTATATTATTTATATGAATAAGCGGGACCAATTTATATTATATTGATCTTAAAATTGATCTACAATTCTAAAAGAGAACGATTAAAGATGCATTGTCTCCTGTAAATGACAAAAAAAATTCACCTTTTAATTACATACATAGAAATTCTACTACCACTAACTATTATTTTGACTACATGACTACACGATGAAGCATTTTTTGGTTCTTTTTTGTATTTGTTAGGTGTATGTCTTTTTGAAAATGACGGATGATAGTGAACTTACCGGTTACAACATGACGACAGAATCACCAGCCTGGAGAAATTGCTCAGTATATTTCTTTAAAACATTGTTTTTGAATTTCAATGTTTCTTATAGACTTTTTGCTTTTGATTCTTACGTGAAGTATTTGCCCGCCATTATCCTGATTGTGTTATTTCTAACTGGATGTACTGGCAATATCCTTGTTATTACATTGATTCATCGATGCAGACAATTACGAGGTGCACCTGCCATGTTGTTAGCCAACCTTTCAGTATACCGATCTGTTAGTTTGCGTTGTTTACTTTCCATTTTATCTATACTTTTATTTGGCGTCAGGAATTTGTATCCATAATTCAGAATTTGTGATGATTAATGTTCTTCAGTTCATTGAATTCCAATCACCAGTATGTTCAGTTTTGACGCTTACAGCTATTAATATTGAGAGGTACGATAGCACACGTTTATATAAAGTGATTGATATCAGAAATATACAGTATGGAAATCATACAGAGCCAAACCAAGGCAATATATATACACAGCCCAGATGTGAATGCAAATAGTGGAATACAACATGACTTAAACCTTATACAACCTTTTGATTGGCCAAAAAGACGCTGGACTGTTCTGTTTACAAAAAGGGTAGAATTTTTCCATAAAAATATCAAATGACAAGAATCTCCATTCAGAAAAAAAAAAAACTAGAATTTTTTCATAAATATCAAATGACAAAAATCTATTTTAGTTGTGTTTGTTGTGTCGAACATTCAAACATTCATTATTCATTGGACGCCTTTACCTAATACAATATTTCCATCGGCTAAAAGAAAATGGACTGTTCCACTCTGATTCCTGAAGAAAGGTAGACATAACATTTTTTCATAAAATCAATAAAATATTGTTGCAAAATTTGGAACTAAACTGTTTAAAAATTGAGTTTTTTGATTACCAAATTGTTTGTGTTGAAACTTTTATTGCAAGGTAAGCCTAACTTTATTTTTTTCAACAAATGACAAGGACTTTAAGTGTGTTATATAACGAATAATGAATGTTTTGTATTCCTTGCAATGGGTAGAATGTTTTATGAGTTTTACTTTTCCATTCAACTAAGCTCCGCCGGCCTCGTTGAAAAAGTTAATGAAAATATTCTTCCCATTGTACTCATAAAATTCATTATTTGTATACCATTCCACTAAATTTTATGATGATCCTTTCCTTAGTTTTGCGTAATCTTAATAGACATACAGAGGTGAATACATAATCTCCTTGGTAAAGGTAATAATAATAATATAGAGATGTATACCGCGCCTTTTGCCAAGGGATACAAGGGGCTGCCGATGTTGTTATTATTACCATTATTGTTCATCGGATCCATAAAGATTTAAGGTAATAATGATATTAATAATAATGATGATAATAATGATATTGCACGTTTCGTGTCTATAAGTATAAATGTGTGTTTGCTTGTTTGTATGTTTGTCTGACTGTCGGTCTGTATTTGTTATATACTTCCACTACCGCTAGCAATTGACGTTATATATTTTCACATCTCCATTTTTAAGATATTACGTTGTGAAATTCCCGCTGAGAGTCCGCACTGTTATCACGTTCAGAAGAAAATTGTTAGTAATCGCAAGTATTTGGCTGATTTCAATCCTGTGCTCATGTAATATTTTTATAAAAATAGTAAGTAATTATAGTACACAACATAATTGATAAGACCTAATATTAGTGAAATATTTGTATACTTGATTAATGAAGACGAAAACGAGGTAGCAATACAATGTATTTTAAGTAAACTATATTTTACATACATTTTGTGTATGACGGTACGAGTATTTGGGCTTCACCCTTCAACAAGGTTTTGGTCTATCTTTTAAGGTATACATGAAGCGATGGTTACGAGATGGCACCCCGGCCAACGAGGGGGTGGGGGCTATTAAGATAACAAGGCTTGTTTCAAAGTAGCAAACATCTACGATATTATTATATATAGATTGCCTCTCGGTGAATCCCTGGTCCCTCAGTCCAAAGGGGGCATAGAGCGGGAAACGTACCCCTCCAACTAATACCCAGCATTTTTCTACAGAGCCTTGACTTTAGAGTCCAGTAATTATTATTCAAATTTCAAAAATGGCAGAGCTTCGTACAGGGCATGGGACAGATCCAGAGAAATCCCAAAGGGCCCGAAAGTGGATAACACTTAAGGGGTTCGGGGGAATGCCCCTGTGAAATGTTTGTTTTCTAGACGCCCGAAAATAACGTATGAGACGTTTTGGGTGATCAATTATTTCTTTTTTGGCTTTCGAAAAAAAGGTGGGGCCGTCCCGCCCCCCACTGTAAATCCGCACCTGGAAGGGAATTTGCACCTTCCACCCCTACCGTCAGAGGTACCCAAATAACGTGGGGCTATTGCAACCATAAACCCTCCACATTTATCCCCACTGTGACCCATTCCCTTAAAAATGAAATACCCGCCACAGATTAACACGTGATTGATTTAAGTTGTTTATTGAATTGTGTTAAAAGTTATTCTCTAATTATGTAGGATTATGGAAAATCTTTCGGTATAAGGGGTAAAGATGGTTATAGTTTATACAAGTGGGACTTGTGGATTCCCATTATACAAATATATATTCCTGCAGTCATCCTGGTAGCATCTTGTGTGGTTACAACTACAACCCTCTGCAAAAGAATACACTGTAGTAGTGTGCATGGAGTCATCACAAGTTCTAACATATCCCCATCTTCAGGTAATTCTCTAAAAATTACAAAGAAGGTAAGCCTCTATCTTATTATTTCATGCTTATTCTAATCAAATGTTTACCACTAGTGAGTCCTGGTTACACTATTAACCACGTCCAGTCTATTTTATAGAAAAAAAACTTCTGGCGTAGAATGAACCTTTTCCGTATCTTTTTTTTTTTTTTTTTTTTTTTTGCTTTTAAACATAAAATTTGTAATGTCCTTCACAATATTTTTAGGGGTATTTATTAATTTATTTAATATTATTATTATTATCATCATCATCCTTATCACAATAATAATAATAAAAATAAAAATAATAATAAATAATAATAATTATTATTATTGTTATTTACTTATTCCTATTTCGCATATGTTACTCATGGTGACCCCCCTGAACAAGATTAAAAAAACCCCTTCTGTTGCAATTTCTCCTAGGTTGGGCTATTTTTAGCGTATACTTACTGGACCAAATACCATGAGCAAAAATACTGTCCTAATGGGAAAATCTAAGAGTGTATACCACTTGGCTTCATAGCCCAGTTGATATTCGTTACTTTTTCGCTTCGTTCTTAACCAGTTCGTAATTACTCCGTTTGTCGTGAACTTCGTAACTGCCTCGCAACTACATCGTGAACTTTCGTTGTAGGATAAATATTGATTGAACCAAAATGATATGATTAAGCAACTCTCACACTATCACGACCTATATGCACTGCGATCAGTATACGACCGACACCGACCAGTGTGAGAGCTGCTATGAGCAACTTGCTCGTGTAGAAGAGAGGGTCGTCGATGGTCGCGGAGTTTTCAACATGTTGAAAAAAATATAGTGGTCGGTGCTGGTCGTCAGGTCCTATACGATCAGATACGATCGTAGGTAGGTACGGTCGCATTTTTAGGTCGAGATAATGTGAGACAGGCTTTAAGAAAGATCACGAAAGAAGGAATTACGACACCGTTGCGACATGTTGCGAAAAATTTAGGAAGTCGTTAATGTTAATGTTTGTAAAAGTTTTGAACATTTAAAAATCACCATGATGCACAACAGCACGAAGTGTTTCCGCAGTCCTGCGAATCATTACGACGCAGAAGTACTTATGACAGGCTTGCCTTTCATTACGAAATGACACGAACTTCGTTTTTCCATACCTCTTTAAGCTTTTGTATCTTATAAATTGAAAAATTATTTAAACATAACAGGACTACCTCCGGCTGTACACAAACAGGACAACCTCCGACTGTAGCGAGGTTTCAAGACGTGTCGTTGAATCATCGGTACTAAATGATCTAATTTATTATCTTATAGACAATCAGCATTGATCAGAGACAAATAACTATTTTGAAACCAATTCTGAAACTGGGTGAGTTATCAGATGCATAAATAATAGTTATTTCAACTAGATTTTGGTGATATATATTTTCGGCCTGTGCTAGGCCCATTTTGCCCTATGTACACCACCACGATCAATCAAAATAGTCCCAGGAGATATTACCGTCGTTGTCTGCTTCAGTGATCTTCTACGTACATCCATTCCATCATAGGGAACTCGGAACCTCACTGCCAAATGGCCGAACCATTCGTTTACCAAAGTTTCTGAAAGGCATAATTACAATACGAGACAAAGGAGAATGAACTTTGTAAAACCTAAAATAACCAGTCAAAACAGTAAGACATTTTATGTTACGGCTATACAAGAATGGAACAAACTACCCTATATGATCAAGTCTTCACCGAGTTTAAATATATTCAAGAAAAGATTAAAATTATATTTAGCAGCAAAATCGGAAATGACAAACAATCAGTAAACATATAAATATGCTTTAAACATAAACATTTTTTTTTGTGAAATCTTATACATACCGCTTTTTACCTGCTTTTTTACTTACACTTTTACGTCTTTTAAGGTTTAACGAGAGTTTTTATTGTTTTTATTAGATTTACTTTATGATAAGGAGTTTTAAAGGTTTTAAATAAATTTTAATGTTTGTTTTTTACCTGTTTTTTCACATTCACTTTTACATACTTTTAAGGTTTAATGGGTTTTATTTCTTTTATTAGTTTTACTTTTATTAGAAATTTTAAAGGTTGTTATAAATTTTCAATGTTTGTTTTAGTTTTTAACCAACTTTTATGTATTTGTTGTCACTTAAGGGACCCCAACAGAAATAAACCGATTCGGGTTTTTTTTTGGGTTATCCTGAGCTGTAAATGTTTTACTAAATTATCTTTTTATTGTTCATTGTTTTGTTATTTGTAATGTGTTGAATTATGCTCAAATAAATTTGAATTGAATTGAATTGAATTGAGCCAAATGACCGAGCGGTTAAAGAAGGAGCACCGTGATCATAGCCAACAATATCGGCACGGGTTCGCGGCCGGCTCGCTCCTATAGTTCTGGTGGTGGAACAAGTCTTCTCGGATAAGGACTATAAACCGTAGGCCCAGTGTACACAAATGCTCATGTGCACTTTAAAGAACCCAGTACATCTTTCGAGATGAGTAGGGGTTACCACGGTGTACTGGTTCATTCGGCCCCTGTCGCGGACAGATGAAAGTGCGCCGGTTTACTGGCTGCTGAAGACATGAAGTGACTCTTAGGGGAGGAGAAAGTTATTGTAAAGTGCAACATTTAGTCCCGAGCGCATAGAGACCATGTATTATGCGCTATATAAGTCTCCAACCATTACCATTGCTATTGAGGCTAACTAAGAACAATAGCTTCACCGCAACTTCCAGCTAACGTATTACGTAATAGTAAGAACTGTCAAGAATTGTCAAACTCGCTTTCAATTGTTTTTACATTTGAAGTACCGGCTATCTGAATCCAAAGAAACAAGATGACACACTTTATAGTCCGGTTCAATAACTGTAGCAGTACTTTTATGTACCAATCAAAACTATACTGAAACCAATGTTAATCAAAGAAAATGTTTCTTTACCTAAAATGATATTGAAAACTGGGCCGCCTCAGTTTCTATTAGGATGGACAACTGCAACCTGATGTCACCATTGTTTCAAAACGCGTCTCGCACAAATTGCTATCAAAGCGTCACTTTAAATTTGAGTTTTCTCATTGTCATTGCTGGAGACGTTGCCCTAAACCCAGGACTTCACGCGCGACCTGGACTGGAAACCCGAAACAACCAGGCGGAACAGCCTGATCTACACAAACCCAAATACGACTGTTTCAATCGTAGGGGAATGCACTTCCATCATCTGAACATTTGTTCTTTGTACTCTAAATTTTCCAAAATTAAAGTATTGTTACACATAGTAGAGCAGTTGTGTGTGCCATTTCGGAGAAATGGCTAGATAAAACGATATCTGATTCAGAAATCTAGATTGATGGCTACTGCATTCTCCGCAAAGATAGGAACAGGAAAGGTGGTGGCGTATGCCTTTACATCAGATATGATATCGCATTTAATGAAAGACCTTAATAACAAAAACATTGAGTCGATCTGGATATAACTGCTACTTCCTAAGACCAAGCCAATCGTGGTTGTGTTTATCGATCATAAACGTGTACTTATATTACGTTTATTGAAAATCTAGAGTCCGTTGTTTTCAAAATTAGATCGGATTTAGAGGTATATATTTGAGGTGACACTAACATCGGCTACATAAAAAAATCCTACGCTTAAGAAATATTGTGAATTTTTACGACTATTTAATTTTACGCAAATTATTGATATTCCTATTCGTATAGCGTCTCCACCATCATTGACCACGTTCTAACTCTAAAGAGAAAGTTTGTTAACGTGGTTCAATTGGCGCTGGTTTAAGTGACCACTTATTAATATACTTTACCCGTATGGTGATTAGAGGATACATAAATAAACATAAGGCCAAACAAAATAAATAAACGGTCTCTCGTCAGCGCGCGCGTCGATTTAGACCTTGCGCGTCAATTTTTTTAAATTTTTCACCGGACATACAACATTGCCACCTATTCCGAATTTTGGGGTGCAGATTATCCATTCTAGGTTAGGCCCATGCTAGCCCAATTAATTAGCCTAGGGTAGGACCGGTTGTAGTCCTAGTATTTGTAATTATACTCACTACAGTGCATGCTGTACTAGGATTCTTACTACGATTTCTACGACATTCAAGCAATGGTTGAATTTGGTTGTCTAAATAATTCATTCATAATTACGTTCGTTCATAAACAATTTTAAAACACGTTGTTGCTGTTCGAAACCGTCTTCAAAAACTACCAAACTACTTTTCGCGAGTTTGGTCCTGGGGTCACGTGAAATATCGCAACAAAACACACGTGGGCTGGTTGTTGAAACTTGCTGCTCGACGTTCCGGGTTCCCGGTGGCTTGTACCGTTATAGAGAGAATGATCCGCTATAATTTCAGAATAAAAACTTGTGAAATTAATTTATGCTATAAGTTCTTGAAGTTGTAATAATGATTTTACTTGAATTTGACTTTAGAAAGGCATTCGTCATCTGCGCACGCGTAAACTTTGTATCGCACGATATTTCTCCACTTCTGTTTTTGTTTATAAAACGTGGTGCGTGATGAGTGAACGCTTCGCATAATGGGCTGTGAGGAGTAATGACTTAGGCCTAGAATTACCAATATATTAAGATTAATACGACTGTTATCAGGGACGGATCCAGTGGGGGAAGCCGTGGGAGCCGCGGCTCCCCCCCCCCCTTTGTACACAGTGTTAAAAATTTTAAAGCTTATTCTTGAGCCAATACAAATTCTTTCCTGGGATCACTCAAAATGAATACTTCTAAACATGTAAATATGCATCAGTACACGTTATACATAGGCCTAATAGAACACGTAGGCCTAAGCGTGATTTAATATAATCTTAAATCCATAAATCTCAGGCCAGGTCTTTTAAGATAGAAATGCGATACTGTGGTTCAGTTTTGTTTTATCCTTTTGCAAGTTTCTTTAAATGTTTGTTTAATAATACTACTACTAATAGTAATAATAATAATAATTATAACAATGATGATGATGACGACAGTAATAATTGATAATAATATTAATAACAATAAAAAGTGAAGAAAATTGTGCTAAATGCGAAAAAAAGTTGTGATTTGTTGATCATAATATAGTATAGTTAAAGCTTAGTAAGCTATAATTAGGCCTACGTTGTCCTGGATATTAAGTAGATCCCTCATAAAAGATCATGAGAAATTTGTTGGCGTTTCATTTTGAATAATGGTAATGTGATGATGATGAATTTTACTATATAAAAGTGTCATTTCTGGCCATCTCGAGAGGTACTATTTTCTCAAATTTTCTAACCTCAGCCCCAGCCATGATGGACTGAGGTGGTTGTGAAATCACGTTTTTGAAGTAGACCTATGTAAAGTACATACTCAAAGACAATGTTTTTAAGCTTTGTTTTCTATGGTATACACACACACATTAATAAGATCTCTATGGTTATCAAAAATCCCTGATAAAAGATCATGAGAATTTTTTTTTTTGGCGCTTCATTTTGACTAATGGTGATGTGATGATGATGAATTTTACTAAAAGTGTCATTTCTGGCCATCTAGAGGTACTATTTTCTCGCCTCAGCTCCAACCATTGTGGGGCTGAGGTGGGTGTCGACTCACAAAATGCCCTCCCCCTCCACCTTTCAAAACAGATCTGTGCCCTTCCCTGGGTATGACATTAAACTCCATCGAGTCGGCTCCTGATGTATGTCTTAGTGACTGCTGTTTGTTTTTAGGATATGATCTGGTTTTTCATGTCCATTTTTCGTGATTATGATTATCCTGGATAAAGAATGTTTTGAGCAGAGGTGGATTCAAGGCCCTCCCCACCCACCCACCTCTTCATTTTCTTAAGGAAAAAAAAGAAAAATATAATTCAAATTAAAGTGCGAGAGTGTAATTTCCGGTCATCTAGAGATGCCCAAATCATAAATTTTCTTACCTCAGCCCCAACCATGGTGGGGCTGAGGTGGGTGGTTCCTCGGTCTGTGAAAGACCCTCCCTGGTTCACCTCTCTTTCGAATTCCTGGATTTGCCATCCTCTCAAACAGTCCTAAGAACGTTCAGAGTGCGCTACTTCACAAGAGGATTCGCCCCTTGACCCCGCCGGAGTCATACGTAATTCGTATAACGGCTCCCCCTTTTCAAAATCCTGGCTACGTCCCTGACTGTTATTAGTCACCGTTATAATAGAATGATTGTTTAAAATAGATAAATATACTCAATAAGTATTTTATTTTCTTACATTTTATTGAACTAAACTGATGTTGAAAATTTAACGTAGCGCGACCGTCTAGCATGAAATGGGGATTTCCCTAGAGCAAGAATACGTTGTTTCATTGCGGTAGCCTGAAGTTTACACGAATTTCCAGTTGTTTATGTGAACATTTGTAAATAATGAAAACAAAAATTATGGGAACAGTTTGGAGCTTAAAAAATAGGTGCGGCATATACACAGGTGACAAAAAAATCGTGATATTTCGCGTCCTAATTAGGGGTGCGGCTTATACACCGGAATATAAGGGACCTTTTGGCATTTGATCGTGCGATACCGTAGCTCGGCGAGTTTGCTGAGCGTGTAAGTAGACCTATGTGATGAAAGTCCGTCGTCCTCAAGCAGTGGCGACATTTGCACCCTAGATCGAAGGTGACGGCTATGGTGGGATCATCGTCCGTCGGATTTTTTTCAAAGCGTACCCATTAATGCTTATAATGATGATGAAGACGGGCTCCCCTTGGCAAATGAAGCGAAATCGAGGACAATGTGGAAGGACAACAATGTATAGCATTAGCAGAACATAAAAAAAATATTAAAAACACATTTTCTGTACTTTCCATGCTTTTCAAAAAAAAAAAAAAAAAAAAGAGAGGAAAAAAACCCCGCATCGCCGCATCAATTCTTTAACTTTTGTCTGACCAGAGACAGAAAATATATATTTTTGGCCTAACACTGTAAAATGAAATCTTTACGTAACTACTCTTAAGAATTGTTAATTTTTGAACTTCGATCTGCGGCAAACGGTGTTTAGCTGTAAGAATGTCAATGACGCTTGGTATAATTTTAAGTGTATAATTTTAAGTATATTTTTAATAATATCATCGATCAAATAGCTCAGATCAAAGAGGTCAGATTGAAATGCAGATCTGAACCATGGATCAAGGATGACATTTTATTATCCATAAATGAAAGAGATAGGTTACTTTATAAATTATGAAAAACAGAAATGACACGGATTCTTTTAACTTTCTCTATATTAAGAAAGAAAGTCCAACGTGAAATTAAACTAAAGCCAACTACTTTAGAGATAAATTAGAGAACAAACACGATTCCAAACAACTGTGGAAATACTTAAAACAGCTTGGTGCAAATTCAAAATTTAAATCTAAGAGTAAAGACATAAACGGCACATTATCGCACATTCTCACGAAGTAGCAAATCATTTTAATATTTTTTTTTTACTAATATTGCATCGAAACTTTCATCTAAGCTGAAATCTTGCCCAGATTTGTTCGGGGTATCGACAACAGCCTTTAAGGCTTATTATGACAAGAAAGTATTTAAGTACGCTATGGTTACTCAACTATATAAGAAAGGCTCAAAAATAGATGCAAGCAACTACAGACCCATAAGTGTTCTTCCTGTAATATCTAAGCTGTTAGAAAAGGTAGTTCTTAAGCAGTTTACTGATTACTTAAAGTCAAACTGGTAAATGATTTTCAATCTGGTTTTAGAGAAGATTATTCTACAGAAACATGTTTAATTTATATTCACGACTATTCGATATGAATCATCAAAAGATAATTTCACAGGAATGGTATTATTCGACCTAAGAAAAAACTTAGTGTAATGGGCGTTTGCTCTAACTCCTTAAATTGGTTTAAGTCGTACTCGACTGACCGTAAGCAAGTCGTTTATTCGAATAATGTTCAATCTAAATATTGTTTAATAAATACCGGGGTTCCGCAAGGGAGAATTCTCGGCCCGTTGCTTTTCACATGCTATATAAACGATATTTCTATTAGTACGAAATGCAAAACTATTTTATATGCAGATCATACCGCATTATTAGCTTCTGGTAAAAGCCCAGAAAATATTGCAAATTGTTTAAGTAGCAACATTGATTCATGTAACACTTGGTTAATAACTAATGAACTCTCTCTACACGTGGATAAAACTGAGGCTATTCTTTTTGGGCCAAAAAAAGTTTAAAATGTTGAAGAAAGTAGGAGAATAACCCATAACTTGCAGCGTCATTGCGCGCGCTGAATTGCGTATGGGCGTGGTCCGTGACTACCTAGCAGCTGTAGAGAGGTGCTTCTTGGTAGATACATGTTCACATCATTGTACAACGACAGGGGCTGAAATGAACCATAACATCAGGGTAACCCCTACTCTTCCGAAAGATGCAATGGGTTCTTTAAAGTGAACACGAGCCAGATGTATACACTGGACCACAATTTTGAGTCCTTATCCGAGAAGACTTGGTTCTACCAACCGAACCATGGGCGAGGAGCGGCTGGAACCAGCACCGATGTTAAGGCTGTAGCTAGCGGCGCCCCCTGCTTTACCGCTCGGCCAGATTTTTAAAATATATTGTATGGGTAAAGAGCTATCACGGAAGCATACTGTTAAATGCTTAGGTTGTTACACGAATGAAGATCTTCGTGGTGAAACCATGGTAGAAAACGTACTTACCAAAATTTATGCACGACTTACATTTTTGTATCGGCAAAGCTGTTATCTGAATATATCAAATCGCAACGCCTTCATATTTTGTCACTTTGATCAGGGGCGGATTTAGTGGGGTGAAAGAAAGAATAAGAAAAAAATGATAGCCTAGAACGCCTCAAATGTTATTTTCGGGCGTCTAGAACACAAAGATTTCGCGGGGGCATGCCTCCGGACCCCCTAGGACATTGTTGTCTCGATCGTCTCGATAATATTGAAAGTCGGGTTAAACGATTAAAGCTAAACCATGTTCACAAAATCTTCAACAACCAAGCAATTTCATACATGTATACTCATTTCTCAAAGACAGCCACCATTCAAAATATCACAAGAAGAAGCTCTCATACACTCTACCTGCCTAAATCAGAAATCAGACACATATGTGAAAGATACATTCTTCTACACAGCTGCACAACAATGGAATTTTTTACTGCGCTTTTTAAAAAAACATTAGTAAGAAGAAAGATTTGAAAATTAAAGTTTCATGAGTGAATGAGAGAATTGATTTCAACTTATTAATTTTTAGGAATTTGAATCATTGTCTTCGAAATTATATAAAACTCATTTTTATCCATATGATTATATATTTTGCATGTTTTATTGTTTTACCGATTTAATGCTTTTATTGTACTTGTGTGTATTTAATGGACACATGGAAATATGCTGGAATGATATTTACCGGCTTTTTAAAGTTATCCATGGAAAAATTCTGTACGTTAGAATTCATGTTTATCTATTGTAATGTTTATTTGTGTTCAGTGCTTCCGAATAAATTCAAATCCAATCGAACATCTCATATTTTTTCTATCTTAGGCTATCAAAACAGTAATCATCGTGACTGTGGTTTTCTTGTGCATGACGTTACCGAACGCTGTTGTTCGTTATTGTCTTACAAAAGCGCGGCCCTCTGATGACATATATCGGTATATTCGATTGTTAAATATGGAGACAATAACTAATATACTTAGGCTATCTAACAGTTGTATTAATCCATTCATATACGCTTTGGTGTCCAGAAGTTTTCGGTTGGCTGTGAAATCAACGTTTTGCAAAAGAACAGCTCAACAAAATAGAAGTTAGGGAAACCATGGATGCATTAGATAAGCGCAATTAACTATTATTTTATTATATAATAACGCCAGATGTTCCGACATTTGGATTTGCTAAAATATAATTGAACATAGACCAGAGGATCCACTAATTAGTCTTAAATAAAATAAAAAGACAGTAACTCCGAAAAGAGACAAAGACATTTTGAGATGGATGTTGCGATATTTTTGATCATTTTCAAGAATACTGATGAGACTTGTTGAATAATCTTCGATTATTCATTGTTTATTCATGACAATCATACCTAATGTAAGACAAAACTCATTTTTAATTACCTCGTTTTAATTGGCTAGATTCAACTTTGATTTTAATCTTATTGATCGGTTTTTATTTGCTTCTGTAATACTTCTATAAAAATTGTAAATATATGGGTAGGTGAGATTTTCTTATCAGTATTCTTGAAAATGATCAAAAAAATCGAAACGTTGAATCTTAAAATGTCTGTCTCTTTTCGGAGTTACTGTCTTTTTTATTTATAATTAACATTTAAACATTTACACTACAAAACATATTTGTGGACAATGTTAATATTTTAGCCAATATCTGATTTAGTTACATGTACAGAGAAATGTTTACGTAGATAACCTCTAAATCACTTTGCCATAGCGCTTCAAATTACTATATATATAATTTATATATATATTATAAACAAATATATAACATTTAAATGTAAATATATTATTATTATTATATTATATTTTTTCATTATTTAATGTTGATGCTTCAAAATATATCATGAGTCTTTTACGGTCTTCTATATTACCCTGCAACGGACTTAGAGCTATGTAAAATTAATACCATTATGTTCAGATATTAGGAATAGGCCTAGTAATTTATTGTGCAAAATGATCAAGTGTTGCTGAATGGGTTAAACCTCACGAAACATATTCCCATTTGGTTTGCTGAGTAGCACCGCAAACACAATATAACCAAATACATAGGAACATAACTATATAGGCCTATGTGATAATTATGTAGTATTAAGCCAATGTTAATGTAACATGTTACTGCTTTAATCTTTATTAGATTTCCCTTAATACCACGTACTGTATGTAAAATTGTATATTATGTTTGTTAACGAATAATTGTCATTTCTCTCCACAACCCTATAAAATCATCTATTTTAATAAGCAACTTTTTGCAAAAGACATGGTGCCACTTTTGATCTTTGTTTATCATTCATACATCATTTTAAAAACTATTGATATTTATGCTTTTATTTTGTTTGATTTATAGGATCATTGTATGATTTATATTGACCTGATTGTTTGAATCTTTATTATGTTAGTTTAAGTTTCCTTGTATTGTTTAGCATTAAGTTAAACATTTTATTTCAAAATTGTGTTTATGTATTTGCCTAGTTTTAAACTTGCTTTTTGTTCGTAAAAACTGTTATTTTGGATGCACCACTATTGTGTGTGCCACCGATCTTAAGGTCCTAATAAATTGATTGATTGATTGATTTTCTTCATTGTTTGAATATTTGGCATTGCATGATCTATCTGAATTTGAAATACATACTCCCTCAAATTTGAGACCTAAAAATCGGGGGTTGTCTAGGGTTCCTCAAATCGGTCTCCTATAATATGAGCCTCAAATCGGCTAAAACTGGTCTCTAAGCAGCATACGGTACCGGTACAATGAGGGTAATCGTGCAAAAATTGCGACCACGACTAAAAAGTAGTCTCTAAAATCAGCATAATTATAGAGTAATCAAATCCAAAAACTTCTAAACAGAAGATTAAAACTGCAGTGGTCTCAAATATGGAACTTTTCTTATGTTTTAATAGAAAATGTCATTTTGATTTGACTGAATCATCAACAAGGAAGCTTACAAAACCCAAGGACTAAACTACAGTGGCTATGGTCAGAAGGAATGAACACATTCATCACTGGTAATACAGGATCTAAAGCAAAGGCTGGCTCCTTTCCCTTTTATCCGTCACTAGATATAATTGAATATGTCCTACAATCGATGTCATAGACACATCTGTTATGTATCAACAAAGCTCTTTTGGGTCAGGGTGCTAGATCGACAACCCTATGGGTAGGGGCTCCTTTAGGCCCCTAGGGGTTGGAAGCCCTGCTGATTACCGCATGAGAGAGGCCTTACGTCACTGCTCTAAAGTATGACGTAGTTATATGCCTGGATGACTGATGTATAAAGATCGTTATTTTCATGTTGCGTACCATACCGGGGGCGCGCTACTAGATGCAGCACTAGTTAAAACAGTTTTATGTCCACGCTACCAGATTCACAAAAAAACAAAAAAAAAAAACAAAAAAAAAAACTGTTGTATTCCAATATATTATAGTCATGATGTACTTATGGTCACGATGTGATGTCATCATGACCATATTTAGGCATGTCACATATCAAATAAAATTTGATAGTCTATATAGGGCTTAAGAAAATTGGTTTCTGGTGCAGACCGTGCCTTCTTTTGTATTTTAATTTCATATTGAATTATGAATTATATATATAACTAAAAAACACTACAGCGATAATTGACTGGTTTAATTGCCGCATTTCATCCTGTAACGTGCTAACGTGAGGACTACTAAGTCTACTAAGACGAAGGCAATTTGTTGAATTGCCTTGCCAACCCCGACTGCCGTGCGACAACAACCTCTAAGGTGTTTGCATGAGATGGGATTGAGCAGATAACAACAACTTGTGAGGAGTATTGAAGCAACTTTTCTAATAAAAGTCACAAAACAAGGAAACCATTGGCGTGTCTACGGGGAGTGGGGGTTGGGCTTGTGATTACATTTTATCTATATTTTCTTAGGCCTGAGATAAATATAGGCCCTATGCAACATGGGTGACAGAAAAACAAACATCGTTAAACATGTAGATAGATTAGATGATTGGTTAATTAATTTAATAAGTGATTTATTGGTTGATTCTAAAACGCCAGTGTCATATCTAAGGAGTCTTAAAATGTAGACAAGACAATTCGCCGAAGACAAGACAATTCGCCGTAAGGAAAAGGTAATTTATAACGTTGAGGGCAGCATATTTTAAGAGGCGACAAGGTTATTTTTAGCACCGCGGAACTTTTCATTTATTAACATCTACATTAAACTCCGCCCATACGACCGAGTATCTTTCGCAACTAGGCTCTGCAGCCTAAACTAAACATTAACGAAAAGGTTGGTAGCTTGCAGTAATGTAATTGTCTGTTTATATCTATAGCTATCAATACTTAAATTTTGTTTTTGTTTGTTTATTTATCAAACCCTAATCACTTTTCATCACCACTTTGATCACAACTTAGACTAGAGTAATTAAGTGGAAGTTACATAAGTTATGTGATAATCGACCCTCAACTCTAAGCCTATCACAATAATATTGATTATTTTGTATAATATATCTCTAATTGTATCAGCCACAATTTGTCATTTTAATAGTTTTGTAAGCTGAAGAAGACCAGAGGACTGGTAGAAATAAACTTGTGTTGAGACCACATGGCTCGTTGCTTTAATTCCTTGTTTCAACGCCTTTTATATAATTTAAAGAACACACATGAATTTTGCAGCTAAAGAACACACATCAATTTAGCAGCTAGGCCCTAGGCCTAGCCTCAAAATACAACTAGGCTAGGGCCAGGCCAACATGAATAAATATAATGTGTTTAATTATAGTAATATTAATAATAACTGTAAAAGATATTAAAGACAATATATTACTGCAAGCTAGTAGGCAGCAGCAGTAGGTCTTGTTCAGTGATGGCGCCAAGA